TAAAAACCTTTTATTTATTTTTTTTCTGAAAAATTAATAATTCATGGCGCTTAACCTTCAGAGAAAATTTGAGCAAATTACCTTCCATTCAATCCAACGGAAGTTTTCCAAAGTCAGCAGAAACGGGATGTTATGAATAATAAAGATTTCCTATATTTTAATATTTTCGTAATAAAAGTTTTTTTTATTTACGTTGGTAAAGACATTTCATTTATTCTGATAGATCTCTTGTCATCTCATAACTATCCATTCGAATACATTAGACTCACTCCATACAATTTGCGATTAAAGTTATAGTTTATCGGCTTATTTTTCTCAGTCTGCTGAATTCCTCTACCTTATTATTACTAAAACTAAATATGAGGGATTTAACATTTGATATTTCGTTCTCAGCTAATGCTAATGTCATTTTCAAGTAAAATAATAATGCACTTTAATTTATGTTTCCGTATTGTCAGAAATACCCATTTGGCCTAATATATGAGATAAATAACCGCTATTCAGCTTAGTCTTAATCGAATTTAGAACGTGCTAAGTAGTTATTTACTAATTTTTATGTCGAAAATTTTTTTTATGCACTTTAATTTATGTTTCCGTATTGTCAGAAATACCCATTTGGCCTAATATATGAGATAAATAACCGCTATTCATCTTAGTCTTAATCGAATTTAGAACGTGCTAAGTAGTTATTTACTAATTTTTATGTCGAAATTTTTTTTTTTTTTCAGATAATATTCAGAAAGGACAAACGTTTTATTCCCGCGTATTTTCAGTCGGCCATCTTGATTAGAAATTGGATGATATGTAGCCTGAAAAGACTTTTTTCTAGAGAATTTACAGACAATTATTGCAGTGAATATTGTAGAGACAGAGATGCATCTTTACATTATAACAATGACATGGAAATTCTTGTCTCATATCAGTCCTGTATTGAAAGCAAAATGGTTGCACTAGTGTATTGATCTAATTAGGTCATAATTTGTGTTCAACTATTTACCTTCTTATTAGGTCGAAACATGATCTTAATAAATCATAAACATGAATTATGATCATATTAGATCATTATAATAGAAGTTACTACAAAGTCGTGAGAAAACGCTTTATCTTGTGCAACAATATTAGCAACAGCTCGTAGTGATGGAACTAAACAAAGCAGTCAAATTTAAATCAAACGTGAAACAAGAAAGACTATACAATTAATATTACTAAAAGCTGGTTTAGTACCTACCAAAGCGTCAAAAACAAAGTGTTGGCAGCGACAGAAAGCCCCGAATAATTATAACTATCAGAGCTAGCAGGAAGCTGAAACATAACGTGCATGTGAAGCCAGAAATGAGCTTTGTCTTAAAATTCAAAAACCTCAGTTTAAATACTGGATAGTCATTTGCATTCTGGTGAGTAAAACGGAAAGGAGAAGTTATAGTAAAAACCAAAATCATAATAACTGGTTAATTTAATATAATATCCTTACAAATTGATTAAGACAAGAGAGAAGCTGAGACAAACTAGACTTGGTGTCAGCCATGAATAACTTAAAAACATGTAGATTGATAATTTGGTATTAAAATTATTTAAAATTTAATTTATAAAACCCCCAAAATGCTCTTTAAAATTTAATAAGAAATTGAGAATTTTTAAAAACAGTCTCTCAAAAATTTGGGTTCAAACAGTAAATATATGGAACTGACTTCGTCAGATATGTTAATGGCAGGTATAAAATTAGGTAGAAACAAACAACATTTAGTTGGTAGTTTCATCCAGCTGATTTCGAGGGAGTCGGACAGTGCGAATTTTAGTCTCTTCAAGGAGCAATTCACAGAAGGAGAAAGCCTGATTACCTTGAAATTGACAGAGCTTTCTAATGCAGCTTCCCACCTGAGTAAGTCTTTCAATCATTATATGAAATCCCTAATTCCCTGATTATCATTCACGTCTGTTAATTATGCTTTTTTGAATTATAATGCAAACAATACATAATTATTCATTGTCCGCAACTATAGAAAGCCCAGAAATATTTACCATGACAGCAGTTCAGTTGGGCTTTGAAGTACGCGCAAATTAAAGACGCCACCCTACTGCACAAATTTCAAATACACATATAATTTTTACTTCTTCGAAAACTTTGTAAATAATATCCTATTCACCAGGAACTTTGCCGATGATATAAATGGTAGACTCATATATATTTTATGAATTGCATGCACTGTATATGCTATATTTTTGCAAGAAATCGAAATTTAGCAAACAAAATGTTGTGAGAGAGCAAATCGCAAGGAGAGAAACTATATCGCACTGAATTCGTACAAAATGAACGTTTCAGCGATATCTTAAATTTAAACTGTTTACAAAATGGACACATATATTAGAACCTATATTAACACTGCTTTTTAGGTTACAACGCAATGCAGGTTCTATGCTTATTACTGACCTCAGATAAGAAAAAATGAAAACTTTTGTAACAAATGAAATATTTGAAGCCTCTCTATCACATTTTAAGAAATTCAGCCTTTTTCTTTATCATGATTTTTCTTTGTTTCTTAGAAGCAATAATCTAACCTTACAAGGTGAACTTTGAATGCAAATTACGTTCCTAGGTTTTGCTGTCCTGGAAATTTCAGCTTTGGTATTAAACTTAACTATCTGAGAACTCCGGGATATCCCTTGGCTCCCTTGGCTGCAATCCTGAGTTTGTTTGGTTAAAGAATTTTCCAGGTGGAAATGATCACCTTATACGGCTCTTTTTAATCTGGTATTCAAAATCCCTGAAATCAATTCAATGCCAGATAATAGGAGTTAGTTCGGAAATTACTTAACCCCCAATATGTACTGTAGTTAATGAATTACTACAGTTAATGAATGTAACTATAGTTTTATGAAATATCCTGATATATTGTTAAATACATTCTTAGCTCTTCAAGGTTTTGTGCACTGATTTGTTGGCAAATTTTCACCTTTTCACAAGAAATTTGAGTTTATTTTATTCTTCACAGGCTAGTCGCGTAACAAAAAATGTAAATTCATGAAATTCTCGTGACCTGGGATTCGTACGATTTCGAGAAACCTTTCGACATTAACATCTCAAAGAGGGATACCAGAAATGAAGCGATAACACATATAACCAATATCTGAGTACATCAGTATAAAAGTAATACGTCCTACAAAAATTATATAATGCATCTTTCATATAAAAAGCAAACAATTTTGGAAACCACCATTTTTCAACTGCATTATTTTGTAAATGGTGTTGTAAAATCATTATTTTGCATCTTAAATATAAGATTTGTATTTAATCGAAAGGCGTTTTTATATATTACACTGCGCATACACACATTTTATTTATTTAGAAGCAGCCTTTCTTTAAAAAAAAAAGGATGCTATAGCATCGAAATTATTTGTCAACATTAACAAAGAACGCAAGACGATTTTATACAACTTCAGAAAATAATTTTTCGTCGTATGTCAAGAGCACAGCAAAACGCGTAAATTCAAAGTTCAGTCTTGTGGTTTGAATTCTGGAGTCGGACTATTTTACAGCCAATTTTTCAGAAATTCGAGTTATAAGCAGCAATAAAATATTAAGTATAAAAATTAGCCAGCATTCATAATTGCTACAATTGCTAGATCTAAGCTAATTGTTATTAGATTATAATATAATGCAATCTTTTTATATTATAATACAATCTAACAATTAGAACAATAACCTTAAATGATAAAAATATATTTATGTATAAAAATAATCTGCAACTATAATCTAACATTTCTAGTATAACCGTTAGATTATTTGCTATAGTCAATGAATATTGTCGATTCTTTTTCGCTAGAATATCCACAAAAAATGCACTGTGAAATAACTCTACTCCAAAATCTAAAATAAAAAGATTAAACTTTGAATTATCCTGTTTTGGTGGACTCAACGCTTGCAACGTCGTTTCCTGAAGTTACATAATATCGTTGTGCTGCGTCCTTATTAATACCAATAAACAAGATGAAAATCTTTGTATGTAACAACTAAGTCTAATGTAAAAAATATTGTCCAGTTAAATAGTAATCTTAATCCAAAATAATGGTGTTAATGCATGAATACTTAATTAAAAACAGACCGACATGGAAATGGTATATTTCTTCTGTATACGTAAAAAGTGAAAAAAAATTTGTAATGTAATTCTATAAAAATATTTACTGTTTTTAACTAGATAGATCATGAATTAAAACATGTTTATTTGAATAAATCTGATTCAGAAGTAAAGAATATTAATTATTAATATTCTTATCTATTGCATTTAAATAGCTTAGCTTGTGAACAGATTAATAATAAACAGATTGAATTTTAAAAATCCTACATTTTGCCGAATAGCAACTAACCCGAACGAAAAGTGAAATAATTCATTCTTAGAGGACATTTAAAGTTAATCAACGCAAAATGGCATTACGAGACTAATAGCACTTTTAGGCTAAAAAAAACTCTCAAAAATATTCAAGAAAATTCTCTCCATGCTAAATTTATCACCTTATAAATAAATAAGATATAAACTAAAATCGTATGCGCTTATATAGCTAACCTTTAGAAAATTGGTTTGGTATGCGTAAGCTTCGTTTGGTATATACCTAAGCTGAAAAATATCTACGTATAAATGAAAGCGTGCAATTCACGCCGCATTCTTTCTTATGTTATAGCCTCTTAACGGCGATACCTATACATTGCAACACTCAAATGTACATTATATTTATATATTTTTAAAGAGAACTTGAAAGTCATTAGATATTTATAAATGTAAGCATATATTGTCACATCTGTTCTAACAATTCATATGTGTTCGTTCAATCATTGTAAATAGCATCATTCACTGATCAAAATAGCAATCTTCTGCGCATTACACATAATTGATCCACATATCAACATCCTTATAAAACAAATTTAAAATTTAATTCACCGTATTCGCTACTTGAATATCCCTGGAATTGTTAATTAAAACGTACGCAGTTCTGACGCCAAGACTTACCTTATGAATAAATCACATGCAAGAATTTTCGAACGCGTACCACAAGGAAACTAAAAATTACAGTTTTGCTAAGCGCGGGAGCCAAATTTTAATGAGAAATAACAAATTAAGAAACGACTTAAAAGTAGAATGAATTTGAAGGAAATAGCCAACCCACACCCGTTAAGAGAACCCTCATTGATTTTAATTTTGTAAACTAATTAATGCGCCTGCTCTTTTATTCGTCTAATGACGCTCTTGCGCAGTATCTTAGTGATTATGAAAATTATCGCTCTTTTCCTTCCATTACAATGGCAGAATTCTATGAAGAAAAATTGATCTTGGGGGCACTTGTCGCCATCTATCGTCAGTATATGAAACTATTAACTGTTTTTTCGATATGTCTTCCTCCAGATGAAACTGATATTTTGTTAAACTGTTATCATCATTATTTAATTCAACAGTCATGTGTGAAAGGCATTCATAATCAGGAAATGGGCTTAAAAAAACTTTAAAAGCATGAGTTATTGTTCTATTAATAATTCTATTTAAAAAAATTGTTTATAAATATTTTATTTCTTAAACTACTTTTAGGACATTTTCAGGTCAGAATTTATTATGAATTATTGAATAATAATCTAATATAAAATATAATTATTGAGTTAATCAAATATTATTTAAAGAAATTTGCATAATTTTTCTTCTTTCATTTCTATTCTTAGAAAATGTATGAATTGATTGACACATCTTCTAAGAAGAACGTAAAAAAATAACTATTTGTACATAAATTCAAGAAGAAAATGCCTCTGAGATTTGAGCTTTTTTTAGAATCTTAATTTTGAAATAAGTTGTATAGTAATAGCATTATTAATAATAAGCGTTTGCCCGATATTATTCACAAATTATTTATTAGGAATATGATACAATTACTGTTGCGTGATAAAGAAACATTTCCTGAAAACATGCAGCATCTTGCTTTGTTAAATAGCAAAATTTATTAGCTTTTCTTGCCTCCAATTGTCAGCGTACATTTAGCCTGTACATTTAGCTTATAAATACGTAAACCATCGACAACAGTAAAATTTAGCTAATTTAATATGATACAATCAAATATACCTGTACATTTCTCTGCTTCATTTTTTATTATTATGAAAATTAATTAAGTGCAGCTACTTTGTAAAGAAAATTTTATTGCAATATTTTCATTTAACTAATTTTTTCTAGTCTTTTGGATAGATTAAGTAACATTATTTTTTCATGAGATTCTTTCTTTCATTGTTTAATAGACAATATGTTTTTAACGAGGTGAAACAAAGTAAAAATAAAATGTATTGACTTTTTTATATTGTTTATATATATTTAATGTAAATTTGTATAAATTGTAATGCAGATTTATTAAAACTGACAAATCGGAAAAATCAGAAGTAAAGTAAAATTAGTTTATAATTTATAATTATAAATTTCTTCCTCCTTACCACGTGCCTTTGTACGTTAATTGTTCAGGCTAGTATCGGGATGTCCGGAGATCTCAACAAGGACATTGCTGATTTTTTATTTTTTCCCCTTCGGAATAAACTTAATGACTCTACAGATACATATGAGATACTTGCATTTGGTATTTTCGGATTAAGTCAGAAAATTAAAGTATTAAACATTAGAGTAGAAATTTTTTAGCAGTTATTATCAAGTGGGCAAACGTATATATGTATATAAATTCATATTCGACTACAAAAGCTAATTCCATTAAAATAAACATTAAGATGTAGACTGTTACTTGAAATAAAACATAGGAGCTATGAAACTGTAAATTTGAAATCATCAGTTATCTAAAAGTAATTAGTCATTTAATTAATTTAAAAATTTTATGCAATATTGATTATGATATATTTATTGTTCTCTTCAATTGTCGTTACTCTGAGTAATTTCCTATCCCCATTCAGACATATGACTATTGCTTGTGCTTTTAATACACGAGTAACAATTAAAATTTGTTTTCATATTTCTTCAATGAGTGATTAATAGTTTATATTTTTATTGTTAATACGAATTCAATTTACTGAAACGCATTCTGATTCCTTTTTTTGCGTTGCTCATTTAAAATAGTCCTTGAGAAATCTCTTTTATTTTACCTATTTACGTATTTATTTGTGTAGTTAACAAAGCTATTCTATGTTAATGTAGTAATTGTAAATGAATGTAGTAAATGTAGCTATAAGGAATTAGTAAGTAATGTAATTATTTGTAAAGCTAATTTTACAGTCTTTTTGGTTAAAACTCTCCCTTTTACTGTATATATAATACTGCAGCTTCGAAATTGTTATAATGATACAAAAAATAAATCACTGAAACACTCACATGCACTCAAGCATATGTGTCACTGAAACACTCACAAGCATATGTGTACAGAGTGAGATATATTAAACTGCTAATTTATGCAGAAATTTCTTTTAAGTTTACCTGACTGATTTAATACTTTTAGTTACAGAAAGGATTTAAAATCGTACTATGTTGTCTTCCAGTTATTTATAAATTCCTGATAATTTAATGAGTGCTATTAATTTTAACTGCCAGCCATTTACTCTGCAAGTATTATAGTTTTATGCTGCTTGTGGTAAAGAGAAAAATTTGAACTGATTTCATATACCATGCTCGAAGCATTCTTCGTTAGTTTAAACACTATATAATACAAGTAAGCAACCAACAGATTTTAATAATTGAGATAACTCTCAAAACTATTTCCTTTAATACTCTTTTCTAACCTCTTTAATTTAATTTGCTCTCGTTGTACTTTTTTGCCCGAGGCAAGGAATTCACTCTCTAGGTATTGATCTGAAGAAAAAAGTATAGTTACGAAGCAAATAGACTGTAGAGTAAACATAAAGAACTATCTATTATTTCTCGTGTTTAAATTACGCGATAACTCCATAGGAAAATGTTAAATTAAGCTAGATTACTAATCATAATTTATATATCATTATGACTGATTGCTTGTATTATATTGACCTGATTATCACGCATAAAAGCACGGCCTTGATGAATCTGTAGAAAGACTTCATTTATCATGGTTGAGGTCACACCTGGAAAATAACACAAGCTAATTAAAAGGTGTTGAATGTTATTATCTAAAATGTCCCCTCAGAATTTTAAATGTTTTATGACACATGAAAAATTAGAAGATTTCTGTATTCCATACATTTGCGAATGTTTCGAGAAATTATCCGAAATTATGTTTCAAAAATTTGAATGTATGAAGATGTAACTTTTTCATTTTGAGTTTCAAGTTCTAAGTTTGTTTGGTAGATAGAATTTAAACAATAAAAAATATCTTAACAACACAGTATGAGCAATGATGAATAATTTGCATCCCAGTTCATTTGGATTTTGAAATAAATAACAAAATCTAACTGGAAGAAACACAAGCCAATGTAAAATTCAAAACTAAGTAGAGATTTGTATGCTATCAAATAAAATGCTATCGATTTCAATCATCATAAGACACTCATCCATGTTCTTCAGGGTCAAAAAAAATTGTGTATATCTCCACCTGATCGTCCTCGAAGTCAGCAGTCAAATCTGCCCCAACTTTTGTTGATTCAAAGGTTGCTTTTTGGCCTACTTTTATAAGTAATGATATTGCATTATTTTTTCAAAAGATATAAATTATTGTTATTTTTAATGACTCTATTCTCTACCGAAAGAAATGGGGATTTTAAATTTCAATTACAGCAGGAAGCTAATTTTTTAAATAAAATTAAATTTTCTTGAATACCTAGAAATGAAAGCTAAATTCTATAAGAAAAATTTAAGCATTTCTTAATTAAATTTTATTTTTTTAAACTTATACTCAGCATTTTCTTTTTATACTGTTCCATTGAAAACGCTGATTTAAATATTACCAAAAGGAAAGGTGAAAAATTGTGTTTACTTGAGAAATGTTTTTAAAAGTAATATGAAGGATATTGTCAGTACAGTCATGAATCTTCAAAAATCCTTGATGCAAGAAAAAACATGCTTAAAAGTCTTGCATTTGGTTGGTTTTGTGAAAAACTGTATTATTATTTCCGTGTAAAACTTCTTACATATTTGTCTCCTTTTCTAGCCCTTGATGTAGTGTAAAATATCAGATAATAAAAAATGAAATGCATAACTGACAAAATAGAAAAAAATGGCTTCTTGGCTTTTATGTGGCGCCGAAGATATTCATATGGGATGCGTTTGTTTCTGTTACTGAGCAAATAACCTAGAATTATAACCCAAATCATGACAATTTTTTGTTGCACTTGGCTTTGCTAATTTGAGCTCCTTTTAAATGCAACATTTCTATGTTTTATATAATTAATTCCTGAATTTTAAATCGTATCGTAATTTAATTAATCATAACTACTTAACATAAAATTGTTTCAGGTTCTAAAAACTGAAATTTGCATATTAGCATAAGATTACAATTTGTTTTTAATTTTACAATTTTCAATTTTTTTAATTTTTACATTTTTTTAAACTTTTGCGCATAATATTTATTTTGAAAAACTAAATTTTCGATTTGTTATGATTTGGAATTTACCTGCAAAATAAGTCTATAAAAATTGAATTTTGCCTAATTTTCAAATTTTGAATCCATAGATATATCAGTTTCAATAGTTTATATTCGTTTATAAAATAGATATTAGTAAAAAAAAAAATGACCTCAATTTCTTTTTTAAGTTTAAATAATATCAGTTAGTCAATTCTCAATTTCTTTTCCTTCTAGTATTAAATAACATCCATGTAGTAGATCCATGTAATTAGTTTTAAAATCTATATAATATTCAGTTTCAGTTGTAGCCTATCATGTTTTTATATGCATGGATGGTAAGAAATTCGACTTAATTCTCAAATGAAAAGTTTAAAATATATACAGTTGGAGTTCCTATATCTATAGTATATATTTTATATATATTCAATAAATTCTCTATGATTTCGTACTGTGTTTAAACAAATTATAATCTGCAGTTTTCTATTCTATCTGAATCATTGTAATCTGCTATTTTCTCTGCTTAGGTACTTTGAAATCAACTATAATTTCATATAATACCCAACTCAGCAACCTGATTTAACTCTCCGTACTTCCCAAACAAAGGTAACGATTTTTTATTGTATAATTCCCTACATTAC